CATGGACTTGTTTGGGCTTGCCTTGAGAGCATTGCATGGGGGTCTGGGGGCAGAGCCCCCGGCCCAGCCGCTAGGTTCAAAGAAAGCAAAAAAGCATCAAATTTTCAAAAGGCGCACGCCTAGGTTGAGGCGCAAGGCGCATCAGGTGTGCGCCTTTTGAAAGGGCTGTGCCTAGGACCTAGGCGAGACGCCTACCCTAAAATGTGCTTTGCCTGTGCGCCTTTTAAATCACTGTTCCATACATGTTAAACTTTAATGGTATTGGGATCGTATGATTTGTCACTCAAGCACCTTATAATCTATATGCACATGTTACAAGATGGGAGCACACAAATACTATATTGTGTTTAGGGGAAGAGTTTCAGGTATCCATGACACATGACCCAAATGCCAAATACAAGTGTAGGGTAAGTGGATTTTCCTATTGTTCATATGCACATGTTGCAAGAGGAGAGCACACAAGGTCAAACAATGGATGGGATGCTGGTTGTCTTCATAGAGATACCATGGCTACTCTTTAGAAATCCATCCATGACTCTCTTCCTATTTTCCTCAGCCACATTAGGTATGACTTGGTCTTGGGTCAAAAGATTAGGTTTTGGGAAGACATTTGGCTTGGGAGTCCCCTTTGAAGGAGACGTTTCCCTCCCTTTACACTCTTTCCAATCTCAGAGGTAGACCAATGTCTGAAATTATTGGTCCTCCTCTCTCCCCTCATGAGTTGAACTAGAACTTGGGCTTCACTAGAACCTTAGACAATCTGAAATTCCTAGTGTGTCTACTCTGCTTACACTACTGAATCTTATGGTTCTTGGGGATGAGGGTGTGGACTCTAAGTCATTTTGGGCTCTTCACACGTAAATCTTTGTTTAATTCACTTGTAGCCTCCTCTTCTTCTCATTCCCCTTCCTTCCCAGTTAAGGAAATCTGGTGTTTCCCCATTCCTCCTAGAGTCAGTGCTTTCTGTTGGGAAGTATATCACAGCTGCATTAACACATGTAATAAACTCTAAAGAGACCAAACTGGTGTTTGTCCCCCAATGGGTGTTGTCTATGTAAGTTAGATGGTGAGATTGAATTTCACCTCTCAATCTCCTGCCCCTTTTTTGACCTTATTTGGGATTTGTTTGCTTCACTTTTTGGCTGCAGATGGCTCCCTCCTGTCAGCTTGGATGGATTGTTTAGCCCTTCAAATTGCAGTTATACAAATAAAAGAGGCAGGCTTACGTAGAGATGCACCAGGGCAGCAATAGTTTGGACAGTTTGGGAGGAAAGAAATTCAAGAACATTTGGGGATAAGGAGAGGAATGAGGAAGCCTTGATCGAGATCATAACCTAAGGGTGGTTCATTGGGTTAAAGCATTGGATCTGTTTTCAAACTTTCAGGTCAATGATTTCTTCAGATCTTGGGGGGCTATAGTTGCTTCCTCTTCTAGAAGACAGATAGCAACAGTGGACTCGTCACCTCCATCAATGGGAGTTGCGTGGGCAATCCTGGCCCCTCCGTAATTGGAGGTGTAATCAGAGATGAGGAAGGAAATATTCTTCTGAGGTCCAATTGAGCAAGGTGATGTGGCATCTGCAGAATTCTTGGCAGCTGTTTTTGGAGTTGAGAAAGCCAAAGAATTTGGTATTGAAAGATTAATTATTGAAGGCGACTCCAAAACAGTAGTAGAATGGCTAAAGAAGGGAGAGGGAGTATCTTGGCATCTAAGGAACGTCCTTATGCATTTCAAATGGCTCTCTAGGGGCATGTTTATTCAGGTTAATTAGATTAGAAGATCTGCCAATAGTCTGGCAGATAGTCTAGCTAAGCAAGGGGTTCAGAGACAGAGTATGTTTTGGGATCAGCTGTAATATGTTCAGGGGTTTAGACACTATGTGTCTTTTATGAGTTACTGATCAAAAAAATAGGAGAGCACACAAGTAATGTGTTGTTTTTAGGGGAAGAGTTTCAGTTATCTATGATGCATGGCCCAAATGCCAAATGCAGGTAATAGGGTAAGTGGATGTTCCTACTGTTCATATGCACATGTTGCAAGATGAGAGCACACAAGTACTATGTTGTGTTTAGGGGAAGAGTTTCAGATATCTATGACACATGGCACGAATGCCAAACGCAGATGGTAGGGTAAGTGGGTATTCCTATAATCCTATTATTCATAGGCTTCAAAATGGGAGGCTGAGCAAGAATCCCAATATCCTATGCACATAACAATGAGTATTCAGTTGGACCGAGGCAGGAGATATTGATTGAAAAATCTTGCAACATGTTAGCACTTAGCACCTCAGCAACCTGGGTTCCAACCATTCATATATGCATTACTCATCTTCCTTGTAGATGTAAGGTAGGATTCATAGCAGCAAACATCCATTATGAGTAGTTGCAATGTGTAGGGTATGTAAACGAATGGTAATCTCCAAATGCTAATGAAGCTTGGTGTTGATTAGAATTTTACAAGTACTATTTGCTAATGAATTATGTTACTGTCATTTATATATTTTTTAACTTGTGATGCATTCATTCTTTTTACACAAATACTATTTATATATTTTTTATTGTTTTCATATATTGGTTTACCATCTCTTAATATTCTTTATTTATTTTACAGAGTTTTAATTATTTTATTAAAGTATTTGTAATACTTTTATTATCCTTAAGAATACTTTWATTAATTGGTTAACCATTTTTAATATTTTATTCTTGTAAATAATAAATCCAATTTTTATTTTTAATAATACTACATGACCTTTCTTAATATTTTTATTTTTCCTTAAGAATTTTTAACATTTTATTTACTGGCTAACTATTTCTTAATATTTTATCCTCCTTAAATTATAAAGACAATTTTTATATTTTATCATATTTTTTAATAATATTATATGATCTTTTTAATATCTATTGGTTACCCCTTTTTTAGTATTCCATCTTTTTATTTTTCTATTATTTTATTTTTACCATTATTGTTTAACTTTTTATTAATATTATATTGCTTGTAAAAACCATTATTATTATTACTATTATATTTTATATTATTTTATTGTTTATATTATTTTTATTTTTTTACAATTTAATTTTTATTTTCTCATTTCTTAATATTTTAATCATTTTCATTTTATTGTTATTTAAATCACAATTTTAGGGGTAAATTTGTAAAATGCACATTCTTCAGATGTTGCACAGTTCAGATTATCAAACAACTCCACTACATTCGGATGTTTGCAAAAGCATAAAACCAAATTTTCTACAGATGCTTTCAAAGCTTTTTGAGTGTTTTTTTTTTTTTTTTTTTTTTGCTTTTCAAACTACAAAGTTCAGATTTACTGAATGCCACCTAGGTTTAACACTGATAGGTGCTGCCTTGGAAACCTAGGGCCATCTGGTGTTGGGGTGTTGTAAGAGATCAGTGGGGTAGTACTATCCTCAGCTTTCCAGGCTCAATGGGCCAAGATAAATCACTAAGAGAAAAACTGGTAGCATTAATTCAAGGTTTAAAATTTATGCAGCAGAAGCGGTTGAGGAATGTGATAGTAGATAGGGCCTGTCTAACTTCTATTTGCTGGATGAAGGCACAAGACCAAACACCATGGAAGTTCAAGTAGATGGTGAGGCTGGCTCTTTCCTTTGGTGCCACTTTGATGTTTGAGTTGTCTTTTCTATTTGTTCATTACAGTGTACTTTGCAGGCCTGATGTTCATTGTGTGAGCAGTTTGGTGTTTTGAGTAATGAAATTATTTCTATTCTTTATCAAAAATAAGTTGATTGCTCATGCATAGAGGAGACCATCTACAACATATAGTGAGATGGGTTGAAATAGTGAAAAATGACCCAAGGGCAAGGGCATAATTTAACAAGGGAATGTTGGAAACAGCCTCTCTGTGTATCTGCAGGGGTAAGGCTGCATACTCCCGTTCCTCCCCAGCCCCACATCTCATGCACTGGGCTGCTCTTTTGTATTGCACTAAACAGTGGAATGGCATAATAGGATTCATGTTGCCAACCCCATATAGTTGGTACAAGGCTTGGTTAGTTGAGTTGAATTAAGGTTTTTCTAAATGATTAAATCCAACTCTACCGAGAATCTTTGGGCCTATGTAACGTTCATTTACTTCTATCAAAGCCATAGAATTCCACCAAACCCATTAACTAAGCTAATTTTCATCATAGAAATCCATCTATCAAATTTGACACCATATTGTCAAAGACATAATTCCCAGTCAAACTGATCATAGTCAAAAGAATTGACTGCATTTTTAGGAAATCTCAAGCAAATTATTTTAAAAACTAAAACTAAAGCACCAGCCTAGCCCTACCAATTATTGAAGTCAAATCTAAAACTCACTCAAGCTAGTCTTGTCCACCTCTAAGGTTAACCTCCTAAAGCCCATCTTTCACCTTTAGATCCACTCTTTTTTCTTAAATCTTCAATGCTTGTTTCTCATCATTAAGTTGTAATTCTGTTAACAACATCTAATTACTTGATTCCTAATATCTAGAATCTTGACAATGAGAATTACTCTCTAATCCGCAAAGCTGGCAGCCTCTGTCTTGAAATGGGCAGCTCTATTGCTTATTTACTTTTTGTTATCCCCTTGCAACAACTCGGGACTTGGCGTATATGTTCTTGACAACGTAAACTTGTGATTTATTGATCTGACTAGGGAAAACTGCATTCACACACTGCTAATCAACAAAGATGAGAAGAACTAGGAGCTTTGAAACCGTTAACAAGCACTCATTTAATGATATAGATTCCCTTAAACCCTGAGACTGTGATTCGTTTGAAAGAAAAGGTAGGAAAAGGAAGGGAAAGGTAGGGAAACCTGTACAATGTCTACCTTTTCTTCAAACCAAACACAGCTTGAAAAAACCTCAGACCCCTCCACCACGTTAACACAAAACAGCCCAACATGTAAAGATATTGCATAACGTTCACAGAAAAAACCACAAGGCACAAATGAAAAACAGAAAAACAAAATAAGAGCAAGATGAAGAGTTACAATAATATGGCCTTCAATCCTTGGACCCCTCTACTCAAAAAGCCAAATCTGAATACGAGCTTTCTGCATTAGCCAAAAGAGAGAAACGAACTATATAATAAACTTAAAAGAAAAGCACACATATCCGATAGCAGGTCGACTGAAATAGGGAGAGGAAAATCCATAAAACTTACGCTCTGAAGAAACCTGAACATGAGATTCTGAACGCCGCATGCGTACCCAAGCGACCATACACCAAAATGATATAGTAAAAGGGGAGCACTAAAAATGAAGACAAATGAAACAGAAACAAAATCCACTGAGAAAGAGAGACTGACAAAGCTCGGTTTGTTGCCGATGACAGGAACGATGGAGAATGCAGATAGAGACGTAAAACCCTACAAAACCCAGGCTCCTTCGAAACGTGCTTTCAATGAGCCTCTGGTCCTCTACTCTGAGCTCTTTCGTTCGGAGAATCACGACGCTCTTGCCTCTTGGGCTCTTCCTTGGAAATAGGAGCGTCATTTGCAATTCGGACTAGCTGAGAGTGAATGCGGTAACTGTGTAACCAATGACAGCACAGAGAAAGAGTAGTTGTCTGCTTGTGGCTTCGTGGGCCATGTGCACTACTGACGTGGGGCGTTATCATTGGTTGCACAGGCCTACATACCTTCCGTTCAACGAATTAGGGGGTTATGTGTTTTTCTCAGGTGTTTGGTATAGTGGTGTGACAGGTTTCGGAGTGGCGATTGAGAAGGGATTTGGCTGACCTATTAGCTGTGGACTGCGGTATGGTATCTTCTATCACTTCTCTCGTGGTAGAAGCTCTTAGGTGTAGGTCTATTGTTACGGTCTGACACAGGCTTAGCCTTGCCTATGCTTGGCAGGCTTACGTTAGGGACACCATCGTCATTTTCGTCTATAAGATTTTTGGGAGAATTGATGTCATCTTTGGGCAGACCACCAAAAGCTTAATGTACTCTTTGAGGAGGGGTGGTCGACCTCCTTGGGTGCCTAACCTTGGCACTCTTAGACCTTCATCCCCTTGTGGGGCGGCCCTGGTTAATGGTTAACATGGCTACCAGGGTTCCTCATGGGCGTACACATGCTCATGGGGACAGTGTTGGACCGGCACTGTGTTGCCGACACTCAAGGGAGGCTTACCATGCGGGTCTGGCTCAAGCATGACCCTTCACCTCGCCAGCCCCTTGCCCAAGCTGATTGAGCTATCCCGTTGCCCTTAGCGCACGGGTGTGTTTTGGCCCAAGCGGTTGCCTAACAACATGGCACACAGATGCCCCTCATCATCGGCATACAGGAGACCCATCATATCGGTGCCCAGTCACCTCTCCGGTGCACAGTCGCCTTGCATTATGGTCGTCCCCATTTAGCACATAAGTGGCGCCTCCCATGGACCGATCTGAGCCAAAAGAGTGCCCCAGCCATTGGACTTGAGGTCATGATACAGTGCTACTGACTTTGGTGGAGCCATCCCATCGGGCAACTCCTAACCTCTAAGCACACAAAGGCTTGTCCTGTCCTACCTTGGCCTGGATGTCGCACGGGTTTCTTCCGCTGTAGAACTACCAACGTGACACTATGGCATCTACGACACTACGACATTATTTCCTTGGCTATTAGATTCTAATCTGTCATCTTTGGTTGTATCAACAGCAGGAATACTATTGCCCATTCAGTTGCTGCCACTCGCTTCGAGTGCTGGGGAGGTTCTGCATCTCTAGGCTCTAGCTCCTCCTTGGCTGACTAGTGGCTACAGCGAACTAGAAGTTATTTTCTTTAAAAAATAAATTACTTTTTTTTGGAAGAATGATGATTCAACCCAGGGTCAGAACTTTTAGGCCTAAAGTAGTGGAATTCAGAAATTTGTATTGGGCCTGTTCGTACTTTTCTGTTTATTAAAATGTTTGCAATTGATCTATTTAATTGATCCTTTTTACCACAATATTTATTAAAYAAATTTAGTTAATGGAAAAGAAAAATTAAAATACCATTTTTACCCTTAATAAGATGAGCAATTCATGAGTCAACACATGTGTCAATACGTACATATGAACTAACATGTGCCAACACATGAATCAATTCAAGCATGRAAAATGTCCTCCCAAGGCCTTATATAGATGAAGGAAAGGCCTTTATTCTTATTCCTAAATAATGTGGGACTTAGGACAACAGTCCATGCTAACACTCATTATTGAGTGTTTGTTCCAAGTCTCACATTGTTCAAGAAAACGATAGATAAGCCAAGCCAAATCAATCCTAGGAATTAAAATGATGCCCCTACCTTATTTTTTTGTGCCACTAACCCAAAGCCTAGCCAAGCCTAGTCAAGGTTGGGCTTGTGCAATATTTTTTATGATGTATTATACTAATGGAGACTCATGTAATGCATGGGTTTTGTTAAAAAGAATTTGAGGCAAAAGGAGGTAAGGGTGTAACTTGGGCCCAACTCAATTAAAACTTTTGCACAAGTTTGGCTTGAATTTTCAAACTTCAAACTCAAGCCTACAAATATCTCATAACCTCATAACATATATATGTGTGTGTTGGGTGGACTCAAATTGGTTGGGTAAGGCTCGGACTACTTGAAGCCTCAACTTAATCCAACCTTAGTTTTGGTTAGGCTTGAATTTCTTTTGGCCTAAGCCTAGCTTGTATTTCAAGAACTCAAGCCCAACTTGTGTAAAATCTTTGGATGAGCTGGTTGGGCTCGAGTTGGGCCCACCCTATCTCCTTTTGCCTCAAATTCTTTTAATAAAGCTTGTGCATCGGATGGGTACCCACTAGTTAATTAATAAAATTATATTATGAATTAGCAACATAGTAATAAAATAATTAATTTAATTATTGATGAAAACAGTTACTAATTTTTAAATTTTAATATTAATAAAATAATTAATTATTGGCAATAATTAATTAATTTGTTGGTAATATATCACTAAATAATTAATCATAAATTATTAATATATCAATAATATTAAAACATTGGTAAAATGACTAATTCAATTATTCATGAAAACAGTTATTAATTTTTAAAATTTAATATTAATAAAACAATTAATTACTATTGATAATTAATTAACTTGTTTGTAATATATCATTAATGAACTAATCATAAATTATTAATATATTACTAATATTAATTCCTAAAAACAGTAATATATTTTGGTATTTTTTTAATTAATCATGACTATAAATAATAAATTTTTAATTGAATTTTGAGATTTTTAATTAATCCCAAAATAATTAATTAATTTTGATAAAATATTAGTAAGCTCTCGAAAATATTAATAGAATGAAAAATTTTAATTATTAAAGTCAGTTATATTGTTTGGAAATTTTTTAAGTAACCACAAAATAATTGATTAATTAATTTTGGTATGAGTTATAATAAAATAAAATAAAATTATTAATTATAAAAATAGGTAATATACCAATACCAATGCATGGGTCCTAATTCAGTCAAATTAATAAAAAACCCAAGCATACCTAATCTAGTAAACGACCTCACTTCAGTTAAATGGATCAAGTAGAGGAAAATCTGAGTCATACCTAACCCGGCCCATTTACCCTCTCTCTTTCACTCGTTTCCAACTAGAGTGTTCACTACACAACATATGTGAATCAGTGTTCAAAGTTTTTTTTTTTTTTTTTTTCCAATGGATTTAGTTGTTAATACTCATGTAATGTGGAAAAACAAAATTAAAAATGCCATTATCATAGTAAAAAATATGATGGGGATGAGATTACTGCACTTGAGAACAATGGGTGGCAAATCTATTCTATGAGAGAAACAAAGATGGTGTTTCAGATCCAAAAAACTGAACTGATTTCTGGCTTTCAAACGAACGAACTTGTGAGACTATTAAACTGAAATAAGAAGGCAATGCCGACTGAAATTAATACCTAATGAAGAGTTGAAGAGAACGTTGCTGAGCTGATCGATCTATATATCTTTAGACGAACAAACTGCTGAGACTAGTTTCCCTTCAAAGCTGAAATGATGTTACGTTTAATACGTCGAAAAAACACACTGGTGAAGACCCTGTTTTAACGTGTAAAAACAGAAACCATTTGCTCACATTAAAATATTTAATGAAGACGACAAAAGTTCAATAATGCCCTGCGCAATGTAAGGCTGAAGATGGCCATCCAATGTGAGAGAAGAATAAGTGGTTTATCCGCCTCTGTTTCGATGAGAAAATGTGAGTTTGGGAGGAGTGCAATTGGGGAAGAAAGATTCCAGTTGTTTTAGGTAAAAGAACAAAAATAGAGAGAGAGAGAGAGAGAGAGGAGAAAGAGTTGTGAAAAGAAAGGAAGGTTTCGTTTGATGCATAACATGGTTACAAAGAGGAAAGACGTGAATAACTGTGGCTCTAAAATTTACGGAAAAATTAAAGGTGGGAAATGGAAAGAGGCCCTGCGAGGTGGCTTCTTGAGAGTGCAAGAAAGGGTATTCTCAAGAGAGAGAGAATGCAGGATTGGGGATTGGGGTAAGGGAGAAAGGAAAGGTCATTTGACGTGGCCATCTTTGCTTTAATATATATTAACTAGCGGGGTTCTTGTGCAATGGACGAGCTTTATTAAGTGAAAATTAAACAATAGAAACACATAAGAGTAGAAAATTGTTTTGTATTGTAATTTTTAAAGAATTAATAATTATTTATATTTTATATAATAATTTTAATATTTTTTATAATACAAAAATCATAATAATTAATTTCAGCTAGGATTGTCCATCAAACTAATGAGCCCGACCAAACCGACAAACCGAACCCAACTCAACCCGAGTTAGTCGACTTTCTAATATTTCCAGTCAGCTTTGGTTTAGTAATTTTCCAACTCAATTAGGTTGGGTCAATTTTGGTTTGGCTATTTGTAAACTAACTAAATCAAAACCGACCCAACCATAGATATATATTAATATTTTATATTTTAAATATAATTTTTCTAATATGGGAAAGTGGGAAATTCTCATATTTCTGAGTCTAAAATATTTAATATTTTATATTATAAATTTAATTTTTAAAATTTATTATTTTAATAGTACTATTGTAATTTTTTAAATTAAAATTTTTAGTTTAAATCTTTTGAACCGACCAACCAAACCAAAAATTGACCTAAATTGATACACAAAAACCATCAGCACAACTACAAAGAAAACGAAGCCCCACTATGAGAGCGAAAACAGAGCCCCACTATGAGGGCCTGTTCTTTTCCTCTTAACTCTTATCTCTTAAAGATGAATCTTTTAACTTTAAGAGAAAAATGGTTGTTTGTTTCCTCTTTTCTCTTAAAGTGCAATCATACAACTTTTTGTTTTCTAATGATACCCCAAAAAGACTAACAAAACCTCTCATATATGGGGTCAAAATGGATATTTGATAATTTTCAAAATTTAGAATTCAAATTCAGAACGACATTCTTTGCATTCGGAGTTCAAAGGAAAGAAAAGTTCACCATTACCAATATACCTCTTAATGTAATTATTGCACTTTCAGATGTTAGACGTTAGAGCAAAC